GTAGGTCCATCGGAGTGTAGGTCCATCGGAGTGTAGGTCCATCGGAGTGTAGGTCCATCGGAGTGTAGGTCCATCGGAGTGTAGGTCCATCCGTCTGTTCAGAAAACCCCCCATAACGCCCGGCCAGATCAAGTCACAGTAAGGCAGCGCCCAAGATCTCCGGCGCGCGACCAGACGCTGTGATTGACTCACGTTTGGGTGGTGGATTCACTCTTGAAGAGTACAGTCCTAGAAGTAACATTCGCTGTAGTATTGGTGGGGTAGAATTTCTCTCGATAGATAGCGTCTCGATCACGAGCAGAAAGGCTCTCACCATGAATCCCTCTATTTCCGACGGTGTGTAGTCCATGGCTATGTGAAGGCTGGTGTGTGAAGGTTAGTGTCCAACATTTTTCGGGCAAAGGGAGTCCAGATGACTTAGCGTCGTTTTAATCGAAACCAAGTCACCTTTGACTAGGCCCACATATACGGTCTCCATGTTGAGAAGAACCGCATCCGTAGCCGGAACGAAGGGTACCGATTTCGTTACTAAACCGGTGATGATTTCAAGAGTCAAGAAATAAATGATATACTGCTCCGCTTCAATAGAACTGGATGGAAATCGGCAACACATTCTCCGCAACACATTCTCGGCGATTCGTCAAGAGCCACATCTTCCAACGTGGCAAGCAGCGCTAGTTGCAGGGCAGTCCGCGTGTTGCCAGCCACCCGCAATCCTTTCGTCTCATATGCAGCGCGCGGGCCGAAACACGGGTCATTAAAACTGCAAACGCTGCGGCGGGCCCTGCAGGGTTATTCACAAGGACCCGAGCTGCGAAAAATGATAGATACCGAAACAGGAATAGAGTGTGTGGTGGTTATGAACCGCAGAATCATCGTAGAGTACGCCCGTTGCCCCCCCCGCCCGCCACGCACTCCTGAGTTGTCTAGTTGTCTCACGTTCCTTTTTACCCCCAGTCTCCCTTCCCCCATCACGTTTCTGCACGATCCCAGGAACGGTGCCTCGGCAGGTACGGCGAGTCGGTGTCGAAGACGTATGAGGAAGGGCAGCCAGTGAGAACCATGTTTTGCACGATACCGTGTCCGGATGAGGAGACGGAGTTCAAGGTGGTGGTGAAGTGTCCACCGCGCGACATTGCGATGAATGCGGTGTTGTACGTGGACGGTGAACTGTGTTGCAGCAAGTGCGGCGAGTCGGCGGGTGGGACTGTGGGAGGAGAGAGTGCCGGTCCTTACGGCGGTAGTACCGGAGCGGGTGCCAGTGCGCGTGGTGGAGGGGTGAGATTATTTCTTGATTGCATTCGTGTGAGTACGAATGAGGCAAGGCCGTTGATAATGAAGCGTATCGCATACGACGGTAGTCGACCACAGGCGGCGGCAGCGGACGACACGGGTGTGCTACGTGTGGATGTGTGGTCAGGCTGGCGTGGACCACACAGTTATGATCCGATCTTACGTTATGGTAGCTACGTTGAATATGAAGGTAATCGTGATCTACAACGTCATGTCGTACCCTTCAATGACTGCAAAGGCGCCTTTGAAATTACACACAAAATCGATTATGGACCCGTCGTACTTAAACCCGATAGAAGACATCACTTTGAAAAATATCAATTGTTAGCCCGCTTCGTATACGCATACCGAGACAAAGCGTACATCAGTTGGAATGCACTTCCATCGACCAAGAAAATAAGGCAACAGCAAACGTTAAAACGAAAAATCAAAGAACTTGCCACACAAGGACCTATCGATATCAGTGATTGAACCATCAACGATTGAACCATCAACGATTGACCCGATCAGAGTTCTCCCCATCATTCGGCAGCATCCCCATCCATTTCTCGGTTCCAGAAACTAGCCGCTCTGGAACAGGATTTGCCCCACCCCCATTCAGTGGAATAAATATTCGCCCCAAATTACCCAAATCAATCATGTCCAGTGAGGTTCTCGCGGCATCTGCTCACGCGATAGAGCCCGATACACTCAACATGGTCGCCCCTCTGACCGTCTCTGACGTGTCGGACGCTACCGAGGAAGAGGCAAGCGACGCGGAGGAAGACGACGGTGAGGAAGAAGACGCGGAGGAAGACGACGGGGAAGACGACGATGGGGAAGAAGACGATGGGGAAGAAGACGAGGGGGAAGAAGACGGTGGGGAAGAAGACGATGGGGAAGAAGACGAGTCAATGGATGAGAACGTGGCGCCAGAGGGGATGCCTCGTTTGTACATGTGGGATTTTGGGCAGTGCGATGCTCGTCGGTGCAGTGGACGTAAGTTGAAGCGGCACGGGAAGGTGAAGGAGTTGAGACGTTCGCAGCCGTTCCGTGGAGTGATTTTGGCTGCGCAAGCGACCCGTACATTGAGTTTGGCGGACGCGGATATCGTGCGGCGTAAGGGTGTGTGTGTGATCGATTGTAGTTGGAACAAGATCAGTGAGGTCCCGATCAAGCGCCTGTTGGCGGCGGGTGAGCCACGCAAGTTGCCCTACATGGTCGCTGCGAATCCGTGTCATTACGGTCGCCCTTTCGAACTCAATTGCGCCGAAGCTCTTGCTGCCACACTCTTCATCACCGGGTTCTATCCCCACTCTGCCTGGATCCTGCGCAGCTTCAAATGGGGACACTCCTTCTTCCAAGCCAACGAACGAGCACTTGACATCTACGCTGAATGCGCCACCGAAAAAGACGTGCTTGAACAACAAGACAAAATAGCCAACTCCAAGAAGACCCGACGAGCTGCATACCAATCTAGGTAATACCGTGCCAGATACACACTGTCCCAACTACACAGGCTCCCAGGCGAGACAAGCCCCCAGGCGAGACAGGCCCCCAGGCGAGACAGGCCCCCACGCGAGACAGGCCCCCACGCGAGACAGGCCCCCAGGCGAGACAGGCCCCCTGGCGAGACAGGCCCCCAGGCGAGACAGGCCCCCAGGCGAGACAGGCCCCCTGAATTATTAAAGAAAAATGGCTCGAGGGGGACTTAAGATTCTGAAGCCCACCGACCAACGAGTGTAAGGCATTGCTCCATGTCACAACACTGCCGCCACCTACGGGAGGCTTTCACCTACGGGAACATTTCACCTGTTTGTTCTCTTCAGTAAGAAAAGTGGAGTCAAAAAGAAGCAGGGTGAGAAGCGAGAAACCGAAGCGAAAAAGCATGGTGATAAAGATGGCGGCGAGACGCGTGGTGAAGAGCGTGTAATTGAGAGAGAGGAGTGGAACAGCGCTTTATTCTTTACATATAACACTCAGTTAGGGCCGCCGTATCAGGTGTTGATGGATACCAACTTTATCAACTTTTCAATTCAGCATAAAATAGACCCTTTCAAGGGTCTGATGGATTTGTTGTTTGCGAAAGTTGTTCCCGTGGTGACGGATTGCATTGTGGGAGAGTTGGAGAAGATGGGTCAAAAATTCCGTTTGGCGTTGCGTATCGCTAAAGATCCAAGGGTGAAGCGACTGACATGTGATCATCCGGGAACCTACGCTGATGACTGCATTATCAAGAGGATTAGTAACCATCGTTGCTACATTGTGGGTACAAGTGATAAGGAGTTGAAACGGCGGATCCGTAAGGTCCCCGGAGTGCCCATCGTTTCTGTCACTCAACACAAATATGCCATAGAACGGTTACCCGAAGCCACCCAAAAGTAGCAGGACACAGTCGTGATGGTTTAGTGGGTCTATGTATGTAATCTACAGGCGTGCAGGACAGGTTAGAGTGGGATTGGTTAGGTTATGGTGACGCCACGTCGCGGTGGTGACTATGAGCTCAGTTCGATGGGGATCGATTTTTTTAGCTTAAAAGGCGGAACGAGATGGCTGAAGACAGCTTCGCGAAGCGGGTCTCTCGGATGTCAAGTGTTGCTGGTGATCTGGTGAAGTCGGCGTCGATCGTGGCTCCTGGTTTGACGACTTACGGTAGCACAATTCCGGCGTACAACGAGGAGCTGAATGCGGTGCACGAGGAGCTGAATGCGGTAGTAGCAGAGCCTGCGAAGTCGAGCAATAATCCATTTCTTGCATTTGCTTTTGCGGACAAGGTGGATATGTGTTTGCTGACATTGGGTACGTTGCTGTACATTGGGTTGGGTACGTTGCAGCCGATCATGACGACGTTCTTTGGATCGGGGATGACGGACGCGGGTATGGGCAAGACGGATGGGTTGGTAGACTCTTGTGTGAAGATGGCTTATTTGGGTGTGGCTGGTTTCTTTGGTATGATGGCTGCCACCATATGTTACGAAGTATCTGCGGAACGGCAGGTCGCGAGGATCAAACGACAGTACATACAGTCTGCGTTGCGTCTGAACGTGGGGTTTTATGACACGGTGGACGTGGGCACTTTGGCTAGCGATGTGGAGACTTCATGTGTGCAGATCCGTAACGGTGTGGGCAACAAGACAGGGGAGATCTTCAAGAACCTCTCGCTCTTCATAACAGGATATGTAGTAGCGCTAACGAAGCATTGGAAGATGACTCTAATCATGACATGTGCAGTCCCCATTCTTGGAGGCGCCCTGATGGTGATGATTCGATCCATCGGCAAAAGCGCAGAGAAGTCCAAGGAGAGCTACACTGTCGCAGGAAGCATTGCCGAGGAAGCATTCCCTGCAATAAGAACAGTTGCAGCTTTCGGATTGGAACCGAACTTCGTAGAGCGTTTCGGACAAGAGATCGAAGTCTCACTGAAGGCAGACTACGCTGGCAGTACAGCTAAAGGGGCAGGTATCGGCTTTGTGTTTTTCGTCATATTCTGCACCTTCGGTCTGGGCTGGCTCTACGGTGGCAACACGATTAAGAACTACGTCATCTCTGAAGGACCCTTAGGACTGTCGCACGCCAGCGAGGTTATCACTGCTTTCTTCTGCGTCCTCATGTCCGCCTTTTGTCTCGGCTTTATTGGTCCTAGTGTATCTGCTCTTACTACTGGCTCGAAGGCGGTGGTGTCAGTGAAAGAAATCATTGAGAAGAAGTCAGAAATTGACCCGCTGAGTGAAGAGGGACTGCAACCCAACTATCCTGTGGAGGGCCGAATTACTTTCGAGGGTGTTAGGTTCGCCTACCCCTCTCGGCCGGAACGCGACATTTACCAAAGTGTTTCCTTCGACATCCAACCTGGCGACACGGTTGCCCTCGTGGGTCCTAGTGGTTGCGGTAAAAGCACTGTGATCCAGTTGATTGAACGCTTCTACGATGTCACCGGCGGCCAGGTCAAGGTTGACGGCGTGCCCATCCAGGAGTACAACCTGGCCTGGCTTCGCAATCACATGGCGCTCGTCTCGCAGGAACCAAGACTTTTCTGCGACACAATCCGGAACAACATCCTACAGGGCAAGCCAGACGCAAGTGAAGAGGAGATGATTGCTGCAGCTAAGGCAGCAAATGCGCACGACTTTATTACTGCACTGGCCAACGGTTACGACACAGATGTTGGTGTGGGAGGTGGGTTATTGTCTGGTGGACAGAAGCAGCGTGTGGCGATTGCACGCGCGATTTTGCGCGACCCGGCGATCATGATTTTGGATGAAGCCACCAGTGCGTTGGACAACCAGTCGGAGAAGATCGTGCAGGAGGCGTTGGATAAGTTACTGGAGAGCAAGCGGCGTACGACAATCTTGATAGCACACAGATTGACTACCATTCGCAACGCTAACAAAATTATTGTCATTGACAACGTGCAAGGGAAAGGTTCGGTGGTGATTGAACAAGGCTGTCATGACGAGTTGATGAAGATACCGAACGGCGTTTACAAACAATTGGTCGAGGCTCAGACCGTGAAGGGTGCGGACGAGCCGAAGCAGGAGGAGGTGAAGTTGGACATGGGTCCGAACGCGATGCGTAAATTGTCAAAGGCGCATAGCAAGAACAGCATGGCGAGAGACGGTAGTATTGCGGGTGGCCAGCAGCGTGAAGTAGAGCATCAAGCGGGAAAGTCGGCAGGAGCGCAAAGTCCGACTCGGAAGTTGTGGACAATGATGCTTAAACGGAGCTACAATCTGTTTATCACGATGGTTATCTGTGCTACATGTAACGGAGGTTTCCAACCATGTAACGGGTTACTGGTCTCTGCCTTCTTGTCCGGTTTCTTCACATGGGATGTGACCTTGGACAACCGGGGGAATGCAGACAACATTTGGCACACCAGCATTAAGTTGGCTATCGTGTACATCTGCCTAGGTGCGTTCTTGTGCGTTACAATGTTCGGTGAGAATTATTTCTCCGACAGGAATGGGGCATTTATCATCTCTGAGTTAAGGAAGGAAACGTTCGAGAACGTGCTATACCAAGACATGGAGTTCTTTGACAACCCCGCGTTCAATACCGGCTTCCTGTCCTCGGTGTTATCTGCTGACTGTGAGATGGCCAAGACCATCACCGGCCTTAACTTCATTATGACTTATCGCATGATCGTGACGCTGATTATTGGCATCATTATCGCCTTTACTGCCAGTTGGAAGATCGCCCTCGTCGTAGGCGGCATGTGGTGCGTGATCCTGCCTCTGTACGCTCTACAGGTGCAACTGACTAAAGGTACGAGCATTCAAGTGGGCAAGACGGACGAGGTGGGGTCTCCGGCTTTTGTGTTCAACGAAATCATGATGAACCTAAAAACGGTCGCTGCTTTCAACTTGCAACTAACAATGGAGCAGCACTACCACGATGCTGTGCAGCATTATTTGAATATCGGCACCAGGAATGCGTACATCACGGCCGGCGGCACGGCCGTGTCGGAGTGCATGTCCTACTTCGCCTCCGCAGCTGCCTACCGCTTCGGCGCCTACTTATTGGGTAACGGCGAGCTCTCATTCACCTTGATGACTCGCGCAGTCATGTCCATCATGTTTGCCGGTAACGGAGCCGGTCGTGCTGCGGGTTTCACCTCAGACGCAAAACGTGCACGAATCGCCGTCCAGAACGTGTTTACGGTGTTAGAAAGAGAGCCCAAGATGGATGCCCGGTCGGAATTGGGTCTAACTCCTAACTTCAAGAAGGACGTGACGGTCGAACACGTCAAGTTCCGCTACCCCGGACGACCAACTGTGCCTGTGCTGAACGACGTCCACTTTACCATACCCGCAGGCAAAACTGTCGCTATGGTCGGGGAGTCTGGTAGTGGTAAAAGCACCATTATACAGTTCCTCGAACGCTACTACGACGTGGGCGCCAGCGACTACTTTGCGGAAATTGTTGAACTACACAACGAAGAACAAAAGATGGCGGCCCGAGAAAATAACGCTACGCCTGTGCTGCTTGAAGACGCCGATGGAATGTTCCGAGGCCGCGTGGCAGTAGGTGGAGCAGACATTCAGGACATCAATTTGAAGCAGCTAAGGGCCCAAATCGGCATGGTTCAACAGGAACCTATTTTGTTCGATCTAACAGTGGCAGAAAATATTCGATACGGTAAGCTTGATGCGACCCAGCAAGAGATTGAGACCGCTGCACGGGCGGCTAACGCTCACGAATTTATCAAGCAACTACCCGAGGGTTATGACACCTGTGTCGGTAAGGGCGGGAAGCTGCTCTCTGGAGGTCAAAAACAGAGAGTCGCCATCGCTCGAGCACTTGTGCGAAATCCTAACGTTCTCTTGCTCGATGAGGCAACCAGTGCTCTCGATCCCGAGAGTGAAGTCATTGTGCAAAAGGCGCTGGACGAGCTCCTGAAAACCTCCACCAGAACCACCCTCGTGATTGCGCATCGTCTCTCCACCATCCGGAACGCCGATCTCATCGTCGTGTTCAAACCGGAGGCCGGAGCGGGCAGCAAGATCGTCGAACAAGGCACTCACGATGAACTGATGCGCATACCCAACGGGGTCTACGCCAACTTGGTGAACATCGCCGCTCAGGCCGGCAAGGGCTGAGCTGAGTTTCGACCGGACGTGGGAAGTCGTGCTGCAAGCGACTAAACTAAAAGAAGGAACGAAGAACGGTCGATGTGGCCTTTTTTGTTATTAGCAACTTAGCGACCTTATCCCTTAGGGGAGAAAATCATACTTCAACGGGCTAAGCAAAGTGGGGAGAAAGTGCAGCGTGAATACGTTATAATACAGCGTGAAAGGCCACAGCGTGTGAACGTGCGGTGTATAGCAACGCACTCGCGCTTCTTTGGGGATTAGATTGTATCGCACACGCGTGTGCTAACAATGAGTGACGCAGTACCCATGCCGGAAGCAGGGCCGGTGGTGGACGCGAAGCTGGTAGTGGACTGCATAAAAGGCATTGAATGTTGCGTGAGTTACGACGAGCCATTGATACTGGGGGTGACATCGGGCACTTTGTCAACAAGTGTAAATGACGTCAGTTCGAGCGGCAAGCGGAAGTCTGTGCAGGGGCTGTTCGGTCTAGAGGAGAACATTGTACTCGTAAATGTCATTGTCACCTTAACGAAGCTTATTATCCTTAACCAAACCCCCGAAGGTCAGGTCGCGATCCGTAACGGACACCTGTCTGGTCGGTCGTCTGTAGTAGTACAATATCGCTGGGTGAAGAGCCTGGAGTATACTGCCCCCAAGCTAGTCATGAATATAGATCACATTCATCTTATTGAAATTCATCAAGGGCGATGCGTCCAAAACTCAGACAAGTATTCCTGTGACGTCGATATTACTCTAGTTAGCAAAGAACTGACTGACGATGTCATTGGCTTGATTAGAAGATTAATTGAACACATGAAGAAGGAACCTGGCGAAAACGGCGCCTTATCGAGCGGCTTGGCGAAAGAAGACGGACGTAATGAAAAAGTTGATTATGACAAGATGATATCCAACTGCCTGTTGAAGAACCAGTGGATGGTTAACGGCATACTGACGACCATATGGGGTAGTTTGATCGACAGAATGCGCAATGAACTGGTACGACTCGGCATAATTGCGGAAGGAATACTCATTATAAGGTCGTCTTCGCTCACAAAAATTCTCAGCAAAGGAACCGCCAATGGCGTTAGTGTAATTCATTACAACCGAATTCTGTTTGGTTTTAGAAAGTTGTACAAGAATAAGATATCAGAGGTCGCCATCTATTATTCAACAAGCTATAAGAGAGTAAGAACATTGCTGCTGAGAATAACAAATGAGGATAACTTCAACAAATTCATCACGAGCTTGAATCATCGACTATTCATACCACAAACCAACCCGAAATTTCTGGAGCACATGACGACCATATGGTCTCATGGAAGAATGTCTACCTATCATTATCTAGGCTTCCTAAACACCCTTGGGGGCAGATCTACAAAAGATTTCACGTAAGCGCGCGCGTGCGCACACGCGTGCGCCAGATATTTTTCTCTGTTTCAGCGTATATCCGGTCTACCCATGGACTCTTTGTGAATCTTTCCAGTACCCTCGGCAGCTCGCGGACGTAGTAACGAAAGCGGCCGCTGAACTGCCCGGAAACCCAGAACTTGGGCCCCTGCCGGAGATTGAGGAATTGCGCGATCTGTCGCGCCCGATCGGAGCTATCGAGACTTCAAGACTAAATGAACTCCTGATGAAATCGAAAATTCTCGACAAAGGTACGTTTACACCCCAGCACGACCAGGAGATTGTGCATCTCCGTTTCGCCATTGTTTTCGGGATTGTAGACGAGTATTATTTGTATGGAAGTCACTACAGTAACGCGTCGTACGTGTCGTTTTGGTTGCTTCGCGAGCACTACGAAGTGAACATGATGATTAATGAAGGGCGTTTGGATTACCAGCAGCGGTCGTTCAGCGACATGCGCCAAGCTTGGGAGCGCGTGAAGCGGGAGCCGAACAGTTTTTTGGAGCTGTTACCGGAGATGTACGGCAATTCCTGTCGCTTTTTGAAGAAGGTGACTTTTGCTACCGACCTGCGGCAGGGTGGTGGCGACGCAGTGCCCGACGTGAACGTGCACTGCGTGACGCCGTTCACGAAGTGTCTGTGTACGGACCTGTTCATGAAGAGTTGCAACTGCCGGCCGGAGTTCTTGAACAACGACGCCCTCTGGTTCCTTTTCTGCCATCGCCTGATACTCGAGTCGCCCCCGGTGAGCGCCGCCGTGCATCACTGGATCGACTTGATCTTCGGCTACAAGCAGAAGGGTGAAGCCGCGCGTCGCGAGCACAACCTCTTCCACCCCGCCTCCTACTCGGCCTCGAACTTCAAGACCGACCTGCTCGTCCCGCGCAACCCTTCTCGGGTCGACTCCTCCCGAACCGACCCATCTCGAACCGACCCATCTCGAACCGACCACTCCCGACCCGGTCCACGGAGTGCGGCTGAAGAGTATGCAGTGGCACACGCCATTGAGTTCGGACAGTGCCCGTTGCAGCTGTTTTGCAGCCCGCACCCGGCGCGACAGCAGCAGCCGGACTTATTGGCGCGGCGGCCCACGCTGCAGGGGCTGTGGCAGCTTTTCTTGGAGTTCTGTCACGGGACCGGGCAGGCATTGGCGAGTGCGTCCTGGGCGGAGGTGTTGTTAAAGCACCCGCGGGCGCTTCCTGCGGTTGCGCGCATCCCCTCGGTGCTGCACTGTTCGAGTCGGGACCACGTGATCGTGCGCCAGGGCGAGACTGAGCCGCGCATATGGGGTGGGTTGGCGAGCAGCACATGTCTCACGAATGTGGCGCATGTGCCGCCGTCTCCGCAGTTGGGCGAGGGTCGCGAGATTGCCTGCGGGAACTTGGTGTGTCGCTTCTTCGCGGGCGGACGGTACCAGGTCTTCGATGTCTTTCAGCCGGGGCGCGTCTTCGAGACGAGTGTGCAGGCCGCTGTCAGCTGCGCGGCTTGGAGTCCTCACCGGCGTCTCTACTTTGGCACGCGC